AACAACATGCAATCCTGAACTGCAATAAAAAGAAAACAATGACTTATACTAATAACATGCTGAAAAGGTAATTTACTAAATAAATAAATAAATAAAAATACCTGGATGCTGAAAAAGTAATTGATACCCTGTATAGTTTTGTTTTTGCACATTTTTGGTCCCTGCATCAGTTTTGTCCCTGTACATCAATTTTGGCCCTTGTACAGTTTTTTTTCCCTGCACAGTTTTTGTCCCTATACATGCATAATCATTGTTGCTTTAAATGGTAAATAATTATGTAGGATGGAAATAAATGTTTAATGGATAAATCATGGATTTCCTCTAGTAGATTATCAAATGCATATGATGAAGGTCCGAATGCTTTTCTAGAGTTTGCACAAAGTAATAATCCAAAGTTGGATGTTATTCCATGCCCTTGTGTAAATTGTATCAATTTGTGTCACCCCTCAATTGACAATGTCCGTTATCATTTGTTTGCCCACGGCTTCGATGAAAATTATAAGATTTGGTCTTTCCATGGAGAAAAACAACCCAAGATTGATTCTAGATGCCCTAACAATTCCATTCCTCCTGATGCTATTTATACAAAGGATATGCTACATGATGCCTTCAAATATGTAGACAAAGAACCTGATTTATTGAAATCACTTCTTGAAGAATGTGATAAGCCACTTTATGTAGGGTCAAAGTATAATGCACTTAGTGGATTATTGAAATTCCAACATTTGAAGGGTCAGTTTGGATGGTCTGATGCTAGTTTTGATGCTTTGTTGTGTGTCCTAAAAGATATCTTACCATCAAACAATACCATCCCTAGCTCGATATATGAGTCCAAGAAGTTGCTAAAAGGAGTAGGTCTACAATATGAGAAGATTCATGCATGTGAAAATGATTGTGTTCTATTCTGGAAATAATATAAAGATGCTTCTCAATGTCCAACTTGTGGCACATCTCATTGGAAGAAGAATACCAAAAACGTACCTTCAAAAGTTTTGTGTTATTTTGCTATCATCCCTAGATTTAGAAGAATGTTTTAAATACCACAAATTGCACATGACTTAACTTGGCATGCACAAGGTCGGGTCAATAATGGGAAGCTTACTCATCCTCACGATACCCCGTCTTGGAAGCTTGTTGATAACACGTGGAAAGAATTCGGAAAAGAAAAACAAAATCTTAGATTATCCTTGTCTGCTGATGGTATCAATCCTCACAAGTCATTAAGTTCCAAGCATAGTTGTTGGCCGGTTATCCTAATAACATATAATCGACCCCCTTATGTGTGTATGTCAAGAAAATTCATGATGTTGACTCTGTTGATATCCGGGCCAAACCAACCTGGTAACAATATTGATGTCTACTTGGCACCATTGATAGAAGATCTAAAACTCTTGTGGGAAACTGGCGTTGAGACTTTTGATTCTTATAAGAAAGAATACTTCAATTTAAGAGCAATATTAATTTGTACTATAAGTGACTTTCCCGCATATGGTAATCTTTCGGGGTGTGTTACCAAAGGTTATTATGCTTTATGTTCAAAGAATACTTGTTCACAATGGTTGCGAAAGTCCAAAAAAGTATGTTTCCTTGGGCATAGAAGATTCCTCCCACTTGAACATCCTTTTCGTAAAAGAAAAAAAAACATTTCAACAATCAACATGACCACGATGTTATGCCACAACCATCATCAGGTGAAGATATTTATGACTATCTAGCGGGATTTGAGAATACATGGGGTAAGAAGATAAATTCAAAGAAGATAAAGTTAAAGAAGATAAAGTCAAAGAAGGGAGCGTCAAAGAAGGAAACGCCAAAGAAGGAAAAGTCAAAGAAGAAAAAAAAAAGTATCGATGAGAGATCTAAATTTTGGCATAAAAAGTCGATTTTTTTTACTTGAATAATGGAAGAAGTTGCCTGTTCGTCATCAGTTAGATCTCATGCACATAGAAAAAAATGTGACCGGGAGTCTTTATGGGACAGCGTTGAATTTGCCTCATAAGACGAAGGATGGATTAAAAGCACGACAAGATCTTGAAGCGTTGGGCATTAAGAGTGAATTACAACCTCAGCCAAAAGGGGATCAACATTGGCTTCCGCCTGCGTGCTACACATTGAATTCCGCAGAGAAACATCTATTTTATGATACCCTGTCTAACATAAAAGTTCCTCATAGGTATTTCTCTAACATATCCGACTATGTTGGCTCTAAAAATATTGTAATTCTAAAAATAATTAAAATAAGCTTTTTAGAATTACAATATTTTTAATTATTTTGTTTGAATAACATTAATTAGATACTTTTCTAATAGGTTGGAAAACGTTTGGCTAACGGGGAAGATATTTGTGATGATGTTCGTTGGTTGGCCAAAGGGCCTAATTTTGTTGTTAGTAAATATAGCGGTTTTGCCATAAATGAGTATCATTGTCATACAACATCTCGAGATGAGTCTAGAACAACTCCATGCAGTGGAGTATCTTTAGTTGCACATATTATGCAGATTGGTAGTAGAAAAGACTCTAATCATGTGTATGGTGTTGTTACTTACTTTGGTCGTATAAAGGAGATATGGGATCTTGATTATCGTATGTTTACTATTCCTGTATTCATGTGTGATTGGTTTGGTAGTCGTGGAGTAAAAAAAAGGATAATTTAGGATTCACAGTTGTTAACTTTGATAGGCTTGGTCAGAAGTCTGAACCCTTTGTATTAGCTAGTCAATTCAAACAGTTTTTTATGTTCAAGATCAATAAGATGAGAATTTGCATGTTGTTGGATTCATGCCACATAAGATGTACAAATATGGATCAAATGGTGAAACTGGTGATATGTTGGAATTTGATGCTACTTTTGTTTTAACACAAGACTCCGCTTTATTAGACCTTGACGATGATTTTTTGTGTACGCACCCGGATGGCGAGGGCATATTAGTTTAAATATTTTTTTGCAGAATAATAAAGTTTTTCGTATGTTTTTATTTCAGATGTTGAATGTGATTAATTTTTTTCCAACTGCAACAAATAACAATGTACTTAATTTTATTTGAATCTTGTTGAAATTGGTTGTTTTATTGTGACATGGAATCGGATTCAGCTTCTGATCACGATGAGGACTCTAAACAAAGAGGTCTAACAACAAAAGCAAAAGCTAATAAAGTGAAACTTGTAGTAACTTACAATAAAAAAGGTGTCCCGGTTGGAAAGGAAGCCACAAAACTATCTACTTTTGAGGGTTTGGTTGGAAGAACAATGGTTCCCATAACTCATGAGTCTTGGTTGGAAGTTAGGGAAGAAGTAAGGGAAGGGTTATGGCAATATGTTTTGGTAAGTCTAACATTTGATCTTAACTTCAAGTTATCTTTTTTTTTTTAATTTAATTATCTTTCTTCTAGTTTTAGAGTTTGAGTCAAATGCCTTTTGTTGGTGTAAATATGGGATGTACGTATCATTGTAATTCATTCTAGAACTAAGTTTTCCAAGTTATATTATCCATTGTTTCCAATTTATTCTTTATTCCCCTGTTACTTGTTCTTCTGTTTTTTCTATGGTGCACAAAGTATAAGGTGAAAGCAGTCTCTGTTTCTTCCTGTTAATACCTTTGTTCATATCTGTTTTTCTCCCTGTTACAAAACTTTTGATTACACTAAAAGTAACCTCTCCCCTGTTCAGATATGTTTTTGTCCCTCTTTTGTTTGAATTTCTTGTGCACAAAGGAACAAGTTGAACCTGCAACTTAATTCTTATAGCATTTAGTTGGTTTATGCCATTTTCGTTGAAGGATTAGAACATAAAATAAAATATAGGACTCAAAATGTCATTAGTCCAGACACTAGAAGTGTTCAAGGAAATTACCATATTGCCCTTCATATTTTATTTGAATAAAATACAGGACTCACAATGTCTTTCTTTTAGTTTTAGAGATTGAGTCAAATGCCTTTTGTTGGTGTAAATATGGGATGTAGGTATCATTGTAATTCATTCTAGAACTAAGTTTTCCAAGTTATATTATCCATTGTTTCCAATTTATTCTTTATTCCCCTGCTACTTGTTCTTCTGTTTTTTATGTGGTGTACAAAGTGCAAGGTGTGAACACTTAAATACACTAATTTTACAGAACACATTTATAAATGGTAGATAATGGACAACCCTTTTTTTATGTTTCAGGAAAACTTTGTAGTTGACCCAAAGAGTCGGAAGCAAACTCTCCAATCGATCGGGAAGAAGTGGAGAAACTTCAAACATTATCTATATGCCAAGTTCATTAAGAACCGAAGTAAAGATCCCAAGGCAAATCTATTCAAACCTCTGAAAGATTATCCGTTTATAAAGAAAGAATACTGGAAAGTTTTTGTATCCCATGGAGTTACAAAAAAGTGGGAGGTTTGTTAAACTTTTCTTATATGCATTTGTTCAATGAAATTTTTTGTATCCCAAAGATTTGCAAAAAAGAGTTACAATTTTAATGTTTCTAATGCAGGACAAAAGTATGAAAGCTAAAATTGTTCGTGCACGTCATAAATACAATCATCGTTTGAGCAGAAAAGGATATGTCGGACTCATTAATGACATTGTATGAATCCCACTAAGTATTGATTATTTTACTTGTATATATTTATGTTAATTGACTTTGTTATTCTTGATAATTTAGATGCAAGAAACCGGCAAGTCGGAAGAGGAGATTGATAGGACACTGTTGTGGAAAAAAGCAAGAGAATTGAAGACAGGAGGATACGAATCAGATGTCAAGATGATTGTTGATAAAATTGTAAGTTTCATTGAATTTCAAATATATAAATAAAAATAACATGAATTTGTCCATGGATTCACACACAATCTGTCCCATTTTTTTTCTATCATTTGTCCCATTTTTTCTAACATTTGTCCCAATTTTTTTACAGGATGAGTTGTAGAAATCGGGAAGTTTTGGAGAGGTTACATGTGGAACACATGATGTGCTTACAGACACCTTGGGTACTGAGGAACAACGTGGGCGTGTACGAGGGATGGGTAAATTTATAACGCCACAAAAATACTTTTATTTACCCAAGAATGTTAAGTATTACTTGGAGATTGAGAACGACAGGGTGGATAAACAAATCAACAAACTTGAAGATGACTTGGAGAAACTAAAAAGAGGTGTACTTAATGTTTCTAAAGCCGCAAGTTGCCAAGTAGGGGGCGAAATTGAAGATGTTGAAAAAGAACCACCGGATGAATCACTTGTAAGTCCTTGAAGAAAATTATGAAAAATATATTTAAAGTATTTTCTTTTTCTACAAACTAACATACTATATTTTGGTAGGATAATTCATGTCTTCTTGCGGTTGACTTTGCTGCAAATGTAGTCGCTAAAGGAACCATAATGAAGTATAGTGCATCGGGTATTTTGAAAAATATTTGCATTATTACTATTTATATATTTTCATTTTTTAGAAGATTGGATCTTAATTATTTTTTACGTTTATGTAATATATGAAAACATTCAAGTTATGATGGAAACAATTTTACAAGGAGAAACTTTAATACCCATTCCACTTGAAGAGGAGTTCATTGTGAAGGTCAAAGATGCACTTGGAAACATACTAAGTTGGCCAAGACACTTAGTTATTCGATGCTTCGACCCGGTAATACTATTTGCACATACACCTTGACCATTTGACAAAAAAAAAGTTGCCTTGTTTATGTTCTGTTGATACTTGTTTATGTTAATCCTGAGTTATTTGAATAATTGTCTGTGTATACTTGTTTTTGTTAATCCTAACTTGTTTATGTTAGTATCATCATCAGATACTACAGATCCTCCTTTAAAACAGACAGTTTTCACAGATTTAAAACAGACAAAGTTTTCACAGATTTACCCTTGATTTTCTTAATTTTTTTTGATATTTGAGTGAGTTCTTTTTTAGCTTCAGTAAATGATTCCTGTTTCATTGTGTATTTTATATAATTTTTGTAGGGAAAAGTGGTGGCGAAACCTGTGAAAAAACTTGCAACACCAGTGAAGAAAGATGCAACACCAGTGAAGAAAGATGCAACGCCTTTAAAAGAAGAAATATGAAGTAATAAGAAAGAAAAGGGGACACGAAAAATGGTTGATGGACAAAAAGAACCATGTGATATGGAAGAAGGGGATGGAACAGAAAAGAAGATGAAAAAGAAGGAGAAACAAAATGTGACCTTGCAAAGAAGGTGGACCAGAGCATAGATGAAGACAATGATAAGAATTGATAAGAGTAGTATTTTGAAAATGACTGCAATGATGGCTGATCGACAAGTTACCAAGGTTGATTCTATAAAAGTACATAGTGAGAACAATCTTTTTGGGTACGATAGTTACACGTACTTAAATTGGGATGATTTTGAAGCAGTTCTTATAATGGGTGAGCTGATCGGTGATGTCATTGTCTTATATGATGTAAGTGCAAGAAATTTAATTTAAATAACATTATGTCTTAAAACAAAATTGCTTAATGAATTTAGTGTTTGTATGATAACAGGGTGTTGTTTAAAAAAATGAAGTATGGCCCGCCAGAAAGAGATCATGGAATTTGCTTTGTGAACCCGGTTGTAATCTCTCCAAGTACGTGTAAAGGGAAATATAAGAATATTGATGATGCAAGCAGAGGTGTAGCAGATTGGTTGTCTACTAGAAAGGGCAATGACATCATCTTTATGCCCTACAATCCCGAGTTTGATTTTGACATTTTATTTTGAAAATGACTGCAATTATGTTATTTGACTTAATTTTATTTGTGTTTTTTGTAGAAGACATTGGGTATTGGGTGTACTAGACATGAAATCGGACACTTGCTATTATCTTGATTCCTTGATTTCTGGCAATTTCAATATGCAATTGAAGCAAATTTTTGATTCGTAAGTAATATAAATTATCAAAACATTTCATGTGAATACAATAAACACCTATTTGTTAATGTTTTTATAGGGAAATGGTTTTGTACGCTACACAAAGTGGATCCAACAAAAGGGTTAAACTAAATTGGGTTAATGTTACAGTCAACACTTAATTCCTTATTGAAATTGCAGTTTTAACTTTATTTTTTGGATCAATTGCAATGATCATTTTATATGTAATTGTGTAGTATCCAGTTCAGCCCGGATCTATCGAATGTGGCTACTACATGTTAAGGTTCATGAAGGAGATAGTTGAGGAAGGAGTTGGAGTGTTGGTCAAAGACAATGTAAGGATATAACATTCTACTTTCATTACTATAATTTAATAGGAAAGGAATTGAAAAAGGATCATTTTATGGCATCCTACTCTCACAATTATAATTGAAATATTAGGTTACATGCAAAAATAACAATGTGCTTTCATTCATTTGAAAGTACAATGCTCTATTAAGAAAGAAGAATTTACATTTTATGTTTATTTGTTAAATATAGCAACTTACTGTTACAGAATATGTTAATATGCAATTTTTTTATAATAAAAACAATATGAAATTTTTTTCTCAGGTCGGGGGGTGGCAAAGTTGAGTACACAGCTGATGATATCGATGAGACACGTGAAGAATGGTCGGAGTTTGTTATAGGCTTCATTTATCGATGATATTTGTATTTGCAAAACAATATTATGGTTAACATTGAAATGCTAGGTATGGTCTTTTGACATGTGGTGTAATGCAGGTAGTCTTTTGACACGCATGTACATGCTTTTGTTAACTTTTAGTAATGTTACTTAGGTAACTTGACATGTAGTGTAACTTAGGTAATTTGACATATATGTAATGTTGTTAGGTAACTTGTTTGACGTTTGGATGAAAATGAATGTTTTGGTATATATATTTGTTTTTTATTATGTGTATTCACGTCTAAATGTGTGTCGTAAATGCACGTCATAAAGGTGTATAGTCACTGGCAGCTGGAATTTATGACATGCAAATGCGAGTCATCTTCGTTTATGACAGTAGATTTAATGATACGCATTGCGAGTCGTAAAGGCGCGTCGTAATGATACGACACGCAATGGCGTTTCGTCTTACTTTATGACAGGGGGTTCATTGATACGCAATGTGTGTCATAAATGCGCAGGTCGTAAGGTTACGACACGCAAATACGTGTCGTCTTCCTTTATAACAGGGGCTTACTTGATACGCATTGCGTGTCATAAATGTGCGTCGTAAATGCGTGTCATAAATGCGGGTCGTAAATGTGTTTCGTAAACAGACGACGCGCAAAAGCGTGTCGTCTCTCTTTATTTTTCCAAATTGGGCCCAAAACCTCTTATGGGCCATTCCCTAAAGCCCATTAGCTTTTCCTAGTCCCAAAACACATATTCGCAACTGGTCCAACAAAGCTCTAAACAACCAAGCCCAAAAAGGTATCCCAAACCAAAGCCCAACACTCAAAGTCCAATAAACCGAGTACACGGGGCGTACAAGCATGTACACTCAACGTACTCGCTTGGAGGCTTGTACGCTGCGCGTACCTACTTGTACGGCCAGGGGCCAGATCCTGGTCTTTCATACAACTTCCAGGGACTAGATCCTGGTCTTTCATACAATTTCAAGGGTCCAGATCTTGGTCTTTCATATAATTGCTAGGGGCCAGATCCTGGTCTTTCATGCAATCATCACAGAGACAACTAGAATTCCACATAACAAGTAATGGGCCGGCATTAGTGCCTTCGACCCATGGATATAGTGAGAAAACTCATCTCAAGCTGTTGAATATCTCAGATAAAAGCTCGGATTGCCGGTCCGAAAATCCCCGCGTTAACAACATCAAATAGTACCAAATAAATAATTGGCCACAACCCATAATTGAAATCCTAGTCCGATTGCCCAATATCCAGGGTGAAAGTCCAATTTACCCTTTCCTCACTTAGCGCAAAACAAAAGCAACAAAAAACCCAATATGGCCCAATTTCCAAATTAGGCCCAAAACCCATCATGGGCCTAATTCCAAGAAAGCCCAATATACTAGCAAATGCCAAAATCAGAAGTGTAATGGCCCAACAAGGCCCAAACCCTAAAAGTCCAAACCATGGCCGAAATCCGTAAACGTCAAGCCCAAAAGCCCACCTGCTGAGTAGACGGGGCGTACTCAGCTCGTACGCTTAGCGTACTCCTTCCGGGGCCAATACGTGCAACGTACCAACTAGGTACGCCCAACGTACTCCCCAGATTACCAAACCACTCCATTAAACACTTATTCGTTTAAGACCTTAAGCCAAACTCCTATATCTGATTCTAAAGGGTGACTTAATACGTAAAGATGGCAACTTTACACCCATGCATGACTTAGTAGGATCCAACACTTAAAAAGAAGCTTAATAAGGCTCTTAACATATGCATGGACCAATATCTTCCATAAATCTTGCATTTTTATGAACAAGGGACCTCCATGGAGCTAAGATCTAACATCTATGTCTTTTGGAGTAGATTAAAAGCTCAACTTTAGCTCAAAAGACCCAAAAATGTATAAACAAGGTCACAAAACTAGATCTAGCATAATAAACCATCAAGTAGAGAACTTTGCACCTGAAATGGCTTGCAAAGATGATGATGAACCTGGATTTTTAAGCTTCACACCAATAGATGGATCTTCAATAACCTTCTATCTCTTCAAAATGCACAAAAAGACACTAATATTCTTCACACGAGCTCAAGAACACTAAGGAGTTGACTAAGGATCGAGATTAGGGTTTAGGATGATGGAGGCTGATCAATTAGATGACCCAAAGTGATATAAGTTTTTTAATAGGGAAAAGACCCTAAAAATTAGGGTGTTCATCTGGTTGGAGTACGCCCCGCGTACTCTTAGTACGCCCAACGTACTCCATAAGGTGTCCGCGATTCTTCTGCCTAGTATGCCTAGCATACTAGGCTTAGCTCTTAAACCACCAAACTTTCGAAGGCCATAACTTCTTCGTTCTACGTACAATTTCGATGTTCTTTATATCCACATAAAGGTAATAAGGAGCTCTACACTTATATCAACTCACCCTTGCCTTAAAGCTTTTCGAATTATAATCCAAAATCCATAAAGTCCCGAACTGACACATTATCGATATACCATTGGGCTCCAAAACACAAACCGAACTTCTGAATCACATAATCTATAATACCCACATCCAAAAAGGGTCTAAATCTCTCTTCCCTCAAGGCCTAAAGCCTTATGATAACTGATCTTCGGGTTACGACTCCGAATAATGAAACGATTCGAAACCGGGTGTTACACCGATGGTGGAGCTCGATCTAAAACCCTAGGTGGTGGTTTTGAAACCCTAGGCGTCAATAGTCGATGCTCTCCACATCTCAGCCAAGACGAAGGCAGAGATCGATCTAGACATTTGTCGAAACCCACACCGGCGGAGACCGGTGAAATCTGTCGAAACCCTAGCAAAGTCGATGCACATGTGACAAAATCCTAGCCAACGAAGATCGATTACAACGCATAGGTGACAACGAAGATTTTTGGCACCGCCAGAAAAGAAAGAGAAAAAAGAGGAGTATTCAGATCAGAGAGAGAGAGAGAATGTGTATGTGTGTGTGTGTTCAGATCGGAAAAGAAAGGGGAGAGTGAGAAAATGGTTGTGGTCCGACGATGGTAGTGGACAGTGGTCCGTCGACTCTCTTTTCCGACGAGATAGTGTCTTCTTCGGTAAGACTCTCTTCTCCAGTGGTGGTAAAGATTTGTTGGTGGTTTATGGGAAAGATGGTTTAAAAAGAAGAGGTTAGGATAAGGTGGATGGGATGAGTTTTTTATTTATTTTGTATTTTATAAATAATTGTATGAAAAAATAAAAAAATAATAATAAAAATAGCAAAATAGTCATTTCATATCTTGCAAAGGATGAAACGTGCAAATTTAAACTAATGAGAGATGACATATGCAACTTTTAACCAAACGATGGATGGTCTGAGTAAATTTTAAATATAGAGACTGAACATTCGTTTTAGTACATACATGAGGGACGATCGATGTAATTAGTCATGTATCGATATGTTTTGCAGAAGATTCACAAAATGTGTAAAGATGTGGTGTAAAAATCAAAATATAGTTGAAAAAAGTCAAAGTAAAGTTTAGTGTTTAAATATTAATTTCAAATGAAGTTTGAATGAATAAAGAAATGCGTAGTTGTTTGGGTTTTAAATTGCTTGCAAGTGATAAAGTTTAGCAAATTCTTAACCACCCTACCCTAACTCTATGTCTTGGACACTCCTTCAAGTTTCTTATGCCATAACTATTGCTTTGTTAACTCTCTCCTTTTGATCCTTTCTTATTTTCTTTTTCATTTATATTTTGCACAGAGCAAGTAAAATACACGACCATCAACGTAACTATATATGCATCATATGTAACTTTACTTTGGTAAGAAATATTTAAGAGATGAGATTGAGTAAGTAGACCATTGAATGAACTTATCTTATATTTGTCATTGTTTGAAAAGAACTGATATGTGAAGGTTTCACATTAATAGTTTTATAGAAATATATGTTTAAATAAAAAAAGATCCATACATGTAACCATGGACCGTAATTAAGTGCAATTGTTTCTAAATAGTTGTGTTCAGTCTCTTTTCTGTTTGTCATATATAAAAAACGTTGCCGAGCATATAAAAGACATGTCATAAGCCATTATGGATAAACCGAAGAAACAAACGGTGCCAAAAAAATCCAAATTAAAACAGACATAATTTTTAATCTGTTATAAGTTTAAAAACTGTTTTATATAACATGATTCTTGATAATCCACAATATCCTACAAGATTCATGAAATATAATATTCATAACGGACGACGTGCATGGGTGGCCAAATGAGGGTTTAGTTGGTGGCAACGATATGGAAAATGATAGTCTACAGTGGCAACATCAAGGAAGATGTTTCTGGTAATTAATTTAACTATAACAAAGATTGTAGTAGTTTGCCACATCATGTATTTTATTGCTAGATATTATTTCTCTATTTTTAAAATCAATTATAACACGTCGATATATTTTGAGCTTCTAGGGATAGATGAAAATACACAGATATTCATAGTGCTTACGTATGTAATATTATTAAACGGCTTTGTTTCACTAAAAAATAGATTTCAAAACCATATGTGCATTACATTAGTAAATAAATTCAACTTTTAAAAGTTTTTTTTCTATAGATGTTTGAGATTCAATATATAATATAACTTAGTTATCATCGTACAACAAGTGAGATAACAAACGGGCAACAAACTGCACTGTTACGCCTTTTTGTATGATAATTTCAATTTTTTTGAAGATTACATCAATAGATATAAGGGCAAATTGATTTTCGAAAATACATATTTCACGTGATTTATATAATTAAGAAAATATTATGTGTAAAGTAATCGAATTAACTTTTGTTTGAAGTTTTTGGTTTTATGACTAATTTTAATGACCGTGTTCCACCCCTCATTGGAACATGAAGCTTTGGTAAATGGAGCTTGGGCCAAACCGTCAAAATTTACCTAACGATGGCGGAGCTTGAACATTTAATTTGAAGAGGCCGAAAAT